ATGAAGGTAGATTAGCTCTATTAAGAATTTTACATCTTATATATTGCCACATCCTATATATTTAAGTATATAATTTATTGTATAAATAATTTAGGAAAATAGCTTACACTGAGATAAAATCAATATAAGTCTCAACACTAGAATGTGTGACAGGAAATAACTAATGGAATGTTTATAGTTAGGTTTTTCATATACCGAATATTAGAGAAAATGCTTACTCTGATTTCTTAAATGCTAGGAAGCAATTATACTGGGAAAAAACTTAAATCTTAAAAGCATGGAAGAACAGACAGGAAATACCTAAGAGAAAGCCAGATCTAAGAGAAGTAGGCCATATTTTGATGCTTTGTTGAAACTTGGCTATAGTTTAGATGACTGTAATGTAAGGAAGAGAGGAGTGAAAACTCTTGAGCTCTCCAAGCTGGAATCTAGTAGACAGGATTTTCAAGAATGAAACCACATAGTGAGAATGAATTAGAAAGAAACATGGAAGGGACAGAAGAAAAGGGAAAGAAGAAAGAAGAGGGAAATGGGAAAGAAGAATAGGAAAGGGAATGAAAAGACTAATGGGATGGAGGCAGGCAAGTGGACTCTCAAATGGATTTGAGCGTAAATCTGTACCTGTAGGATAGTAAAAGGAACTCAGGAAGTGACCTGGAAGTAACTCCAGGCCTGGTGGTGATCTGGGCACCTGGAAGAAGCAAGGGAAATCACCATAGATAATCTTAAAAGACAGTGATGAGCACAGTTCAAAGTTGTCCAGGCATGCACAGAGACCTGCCTGGTGAACTGCTACAGAAATACCAGGCAGTAGAGACTTGACCTGGAGTTTTCATATATTGGAATAATCAGGGGAATGTCAAACAAGTTTGTTTGCTGTGTTTACAGAAAAAAGATCAGCTTTAAAATGACAAGAAACTATAAATAGCACAACATATTTTTAATTTATTCTTATTGAGGTATAATAAAATGCTGTAAAGTTAAAATCATTTATCATACAGCTCAGTGGTAATATGTATATGTGGTACACACACATGCACACACACACACATGCCCCCATGTAACTAGTACTCAGATCAAGATATAGAGCAAGGGAGGGTTGCAAGCTTTTTCTATAAAAGGCCTTGTGGACTAGCCAGTTTGTAAATGAGAAAATATGGCTGTATTTAGCCAACAGGCCATAGTTTGCCAAGCCATGATACAGACTATTTCTAACATTCCAGGAGTCTCTCTCTTGTCCCTACTCTCACTTCTGTTACCATAGTTTAGTTTTACCTGTTATTGTTTGCTTTGTGCAATTTCATGTATATATGTTCAGTTTTACAATTTAAAACTTTTTTTAATGAGACCGTGGTTTGAACTCAGGACTTCATGCAAAACAGGCACTCTACTGCTTGAGCCACACCTCCAGTCCATTTTGCTCTGGTTATTTTAGAGATGGGCTCTTGCCTGGGCTGCCTCAAACCATTGTCATCACAATCTCAGCCTCCCTAGTAGCTAAGATTATAGGCGTGAGCCACGAGTGCCCAGTTCAATAAAAAGTCTTAGTAATAGAACTGTACTGTTTCAGAGCTAGAGTTTTTTTTTTTTTAATCTTTGGATTTAAACATTTTGAGTATAATTGTGACTGAGTGTGGATTTCTGCACTTATCCTCCTGGAAGTTTGTTGTTGAATATTTTTCATCCAATTTAGGGACATTTTTGGCTATCTTCATTCTTAAGGTATTTTTGTTGTTGAATATTTTTCATCCAATTTAGGGACATTTTCGGCTATCTTCATTCTTAAGGTATTTTTTCCTGTCCCCTTTTCTATCCTCTCCTGGCACTTCCCTCATGTGTATGTTGGTACTCATAATGGTGTCTACATTTCTCTGAAGCTCTGTTTACTTTTTTTCACTCTTTATTCTGTTTTTCAGATTTTTATCATTTCTATTGTTCTGTCTTTAAGTTCACTTATTTTTTTTTCTTCTTCCAACCCAAGTCTATTCTTGAGCCCCTCTAGTGAATTTTTCATTTGTTAGCATCCTTTTCAACTGCAGAATTTCATTTGGTTCTTTTTATACTTTCTATCTCTCTAGAAAGACAGAAAGTTTATTGGTATTTTGTTTGATAATTGTTATCATACTTTCCTTTAATTCTTTAAATGTGGTTTGCTTTAGTTTTGGGGGTGTTTTTGCTTTGACTTTGAGACAGGGTTTTGCTCTATGATGTATAGGCTGGCCTCAATCTTATGATCCTTCTGCCTCAGCCTCCCAAGTACTAGAACAGGCTTGTACCCCTACACTCAGCTTCCTTTGGTTCTTTTAATTTTACTTTTTGGCAGTACTGGGGTTTGAACGCAGGGCCTCACCTCAGTGGTAGGCAGGCTCTACCACTTGAGCCACTTCACCAGGCCTCCTTTAGTTCTTTGAATAAACATCCTGTATGTTCAGCCAGTATTTCTTGAGAGTTTCTTTTTAAGTACTTTAAACTAGTAAGACTTCTGCTCTTTGCTGATGGATCCATCTGCATCCTGCTGTGTTTCTTGGGTATAGCCCATTCATACACACAGTGTTCTGGACACTTGGGGATAAGGAGAGATGAGATTGCAGGATGCTCTTCTTGATTGTCTCCTCTGATTTTCTCTGTTAAACTTTTGGGTCATCTACCATTTTGCTTTTTCACTACTATCATGGAGCTACAGCCCCTTCTTAAGTACTTGCCATCAAGGTCAGTATTGTTTTTGACAAGCCCCATAAGCATAGGTTTCTCCATTCTTGGTACCAAATATCAGTCCCATCTGAAAGTTTTAAGAGCCTTCCTCTCTCCTGGGGGCTGGGCAGCAAGCAGCCCCAGGAATAGTATCTCTTCTCTGTGAGTTGGTTGCCAGCCCTTGGCAACCTCACTATAGATTCTCAGATTGCCCCTCACTATAGAGAACCTCCTCCCTAAGAGCAGATTGGGGCAAAGGGCAATTGGAATACTGAGATTCTCAGCCTGTCGCTGCTGGGGTAGAGCCCTAGAATAGCAGCTGGGTGAAGAGGAAGCCCTTCTCTTCTTGGCTGATCCATCCAGAAGAGAGCTGTTACAAGAAGCTGGAGAGTTGATGTTGGACAGGATTAGGCTGTGGACTCTCACTGTGAGTTAGTGATAGAGTTTTTTATTTGTCGTATGCCTTTATGGAAATTTTTAGAGACCTTGAATCATTTGGAGTATATCTATGTCATTTTCTTCAATGAGGACTAGAGGGTTACTCCACATACCCCTATTCCTGATATGTCCTCCAGTTGTGTTAGCCTGGCTGGGATGTCTGAAGTCTGACCCCTGGCTGCTCAGCTCAGCTGCCAGCCAGAGATTTACCAGAGAATTTGAAGTGCCCTTTCTCAGGATTTGTTCCTCTGGAAACAGAGACTGTTTGTCCCAAACTCTGGCCTTAGGTTCTTCAAGCCAGTGAGACTGAAGACCTTCTAAGGATTTAGCTGTCTCACTGGGGCCTGCCCTAGCACAAAAACAGTCACTCAGTGTCTTTCTCTCTTCCCAAGTGTTTACTCCACCCACAACCTCCCCCACCTGCTTTGGATCATGCTCCAGTGTTTCCAAAATTAAAATGTTACTTTGTTCAGAATGCTTGTGATTTGAGGGAGGATTCGTCTAATTAAAGATACTTACTGGAAGTGAAATGCCCAGAACCATTAACTTTAGGTTGGGTAAGGTGGTTTTAATAAGGAACAGGTAAGCTGTTCTTTAATGAAATCTGGAGTGCTTTTACTCTTGTATTATGAGGTAGAAAATGGCAAAACTGACGAGGGTTAGAGTTAAAGCAAAACCTCTGGTCAACTATAAATCCAGAAGACCCATCTCACACACAATCAAGCCTTCCTCACAGTGACTTCTAGCCAAATTAAGCAACCCACTTCACATACTGATGCTCAGGATAAGTCAGACTTGATTTCCACTGGATTTTTTGCTTATCATTTTTACTTATCATTTTATTACGTGGCACTGCCTTGGAAATAGAAGGACAAAATGTACACTAGTGCTACCATTCTAAAGAGAAATGTGCAACACTCTGTCCCATAAACTGGCTCAGTGCTCCCAATTGTACACTCTGCTAGCCAAGATTGTTTGACAGAATGCTGCCAAACTAGGAGCTCAGAGTATGACTTTCATAGCAATGACTCTGTTTCTCTCTCTTATCTTTCCAGAAGTCCTGAAGGCCCCAGTGTGCCCTCACTTACTAAGGTATTGAGAATATGAAGATGAATAAGGTGTTGTCTCTGGCCTCAAGTTGCTCATGTCCTTCTGTAATCCTTAGCTTTCTGGAAGCAAAAGCAGGTCAGTGTAACATGTGGATCCATGAGGATGGAACAGTGTCAAGTTCTGCCAATAAAAGTGACATTAAAATTGGCTTCACTGTCATTTGCCTCCTACTCTGCTGTTCATATTCTGGAGCTTCTGTTCATGCATCAAATGTAGAAGATTACACTGCGAGAGAGAGAGTGTGGGGGAGGGAGAAAAAGGAACCAGTGAGGAAAGACCACAGGCTTCTCACCACCACCCAGCCCATCAGAACCCGGGCCTCATACAGTGGTCATTGGACCATGTGATAAACTATTACTTAGACTAAGAACCCAATGTTTAATCATCATTTCACATACTATGCGGCAAAAGACTTTGTTCTGAATAACTTTATTCTAAGTCACATAGTCTTGCTCTAGGCTTTACATAATAGGAAGCTACAGAGCTGCAAATACCAACTCTTGGCAAACTTTCAAGTTTGTGACAAATGTTAATTGCACTTAAAAATTAAATAGGCAGTGAAAAAACATGCATTTATAAAGATTTCATTCAAGAGGATTTTTACACTTGGATTTGTCTTCCTTGATTACAAAAATTCCAAACCATCTTCCCATCTAGGCTTTACAGAAGGCCTTTCTCCTTCCCTAGGAAGGAACAAGTACAAAAGATTATAAATTTCAACAAACATCAAGATCACTGGGCAGCAAAAGAAGAAAGAATGAAAGTGGCTGGTGGGTACTAGAATACAGTATTGCCTGGTTGAGAAAGAAAATGTGTAAATCTGCACGTGAGGCCACAAGCCATGACTTCTGCATCGCCTTCAGATGTCTTTCCCACAGTCGGGGCACAGGATGTCGTCCCTCTCTGTGAGGAAGCCTCGCCCAACCAAGGAGAGGGAGCACTTCTTGCAGTTAAAGCAGTCATTGTGCCACTGTCGTTCCTCAAAGGAGATGTACTTTGTGCCTCCCAATCCTGTGAACAGAGAAAATGTCATACTGGATAAAGAAAGGGGAGGGAGAGTGAGCTAGTGAGAACCAGGCAACCAGAACTGAAAAAGGAACTCTGGCTTGATCTACTTCACCATTTCCATTCTGTGATGTGGACAGTATGAGTTTCTAGTCTAGTGCCTGTGAGCTAAGAATCTGTGTTATGATCAGCTATGTGCAGAACTGTAAGCTCATAAACCTCTGAAGAAATAGATGCAAGGAAGACAGGGCTGCTGACACCAGCGGGAGCAGACTATGAAAGTGCTAGGGACCGGACAGCCACCTTACTTTTTATTTTACTTTTTTGCAGTACTGGGAATGGAACCCAAGTCCTTGTGTATGCGAGGTAAGTGCTCTACCCCTGAACTACACTCTAAGCCTCAACATTTTTAAACAAGAAAAGTATTAGCTCAGTTCATTTCTACTGATGAGTCATGTTTGATGACTAATCCTCATCAGTCACTGATTGAACTATCAAGAGCAGGTAGATTGTACCTCCATGATCACCCTGAAATAAAACAGAGTCAAATACATGGGCTTATCTCACAGTTGTAATTTATTCTGGTGAAATATGAATCATGAATTCCAATTACAAAGAATGTTTTCCAGAAATCATGGTTTGATCAAGCATACTGAAAAAAGTAACCATATTGACTAGTCCACTTGTATTAGTAGGAAGTGTCAGACTTACACTAGGATTCTAATTTACAAACTAGTTCCTGTTGGAACCATGTCCTGGATGAGCTGGGCACTGAGTCCCTCTGTGCTGGGAAGACTTAGGACTACTACTCCTTAGCAAATTCCAGCAGGGCTGGAACTGAGCTCAAGTCGGCAATGCAAGTGCCTAATACCACACCACCTCTGCTACTGTGAGCACATATCAGCAAAGCCTGTTGACTCTTTTTCTAAACTCCTGTGGTTTTAAAAGAGTTCCATCTCCAGCTTTAAAAAAGGGGTTCCATTCCCATCACCACAAAACTAAAAACAAAACAAAAGTTAACACCAAAAAGCTGATGTTTCCAGAATATTGCCTTTCCTAATCTTAGTAAGGACTCAAAGACCTTCACTGTTGCCCTGAAATGCTAGCAGATGGGGCAAGCGAGAGATGAGAGCCAGAGCTAGCCCAAAGGGGAAGACTCCTAGAGGGAAGATGTGCATACAGTCAATTCTGGCTGCTGTGGAGGCTGTAGTTCCTAATATCCTTATGAGCACGGAATTAGCAAACACTGTACCACTGATCCTAGAGGAACATAGGATTAGGTTTCTGTGAGCCTGTGCTCACAACATTTTCATCATCTGATCAACAAAATGTTATTTTGTGCGAATTTCTGTTTAAAGATAAGACATTTAATATATTGAGGACTAACTGACATTGAATTTAAGGTCAATAGCCCTAAAGTCACACTGAGTGTGTTTCTCTAGCATGCACTTCTATGCAGGCACATCAGTCTTATAGACTGTGAAAGTAGTACTTCTTTATATGATGAGAGCTGGAACAAGAAAGAGTGTCACCTTGTTCTCAGTTGGAATATATGTGTCTGAGAACTCACATTTGTCACTGCTCTGTGCATGCCTGTGGACAGCAGTGAAAGTGTCATGAAGTGTCAATTTCAGGTTACAAGTAGACTGTAGAGAGTAGGCAAGTTTGCCAATTTGAACTCTAATTAAGCAACTATATGCATGAATTAAGCTTCACTGAACATAAAGTTGGAAAATATCCAATTTATTTACAAAAATAATTTTATTAAAAAGGAAAAGAATAATCTATTAGAGGCTTCATCTAGACTCTCAGTCTTATGCAAGTCTTTGGAAATCTGGCTAAATGTACATTTTAGTTGCAATTTCTAAGTTCTATATGTTCTTGAAAATTAGTTACTACTTCTGAGAATTAGTTCTGTTTTAGAGGAAAGATTTCTGTTTTTCCTGGAATTTTTTTCAATGATATGATGATAACTACAATTACCATCCATATCTATCTAGTACTTTACATTTAAAAGTGCTTTTCTATAGATTATAGCACTTTATAAAGCTTAACTTTAGAAACTTTACCTCGGGTCACTGTGACAACAGCATTAAAGATGAATATGTTAATGGCGAAACAGTGCATTCTGTCCCCCAATGATTCTGAAGGAAATATGGTATATGACTGGTCAGAATGTCTTAACATAGGAAAATTTAAATGCTAGGGTATTTTCTTTATATTTTAATTTCATATGGAAATGTAATGTGCTCTGAGTTACATACCACAGGACTATTTTAGTACCCTGGGAAGGTCAATTAGCAGAGTTAGGTAAACTTTGTTCTATATTTGAGGTAAAAAACTCAAGATCATGCACACAGAGATTATAATTGTGTCTGTGTAACAACACTGTAAAGCTATATTGGAAAGCCATGAGCCAGCCATTATGTGCCAAATGCATCTGCTGTCTTCCTGTGCTAGGGACGAAGCAACCAACTGAACAGGTTTGGAACTTCCACAATATCACAGAACATTTCCTGTGACATAATAAAATACTCACACTTTTCTCTCCTATCTGGTCACTGACTGGTATAGCCCTATGTGGTGAGGACTTTAGTCTGAAGCCATCTGTTCTCTACCCTGAATTTCTTTGGCATGTTAAACAACTTAGTTCAGTGCTGCCAACCAACCAGGTTTTGGGCTCTCACTTTGTCAAACTCTTTGGGGACCAGGATATGAATGAACTACTCAATATGCCCTGTGCCCTCATCTAGCTGGGGCCTGTGGTAGAAGAGTCTCTCTCAGATGCCATGGAGTACTGCTAAGATCCAAGTCAGCTGCTAAGTCTGAAAATGCCAGTTTTCATTGTGCTCCCATGGCTGTCACAAACATGCAGGCTGAAAATAGAGATAGTCACCTTGAGAAAAGACCACATGGTTCCCAGTGACCAGATGGACTAAAAGGGAAGTAGTCACCTGCAAAGCATATGCAAGGTGTCAACGAGATGAAAGAAGGAAGGAGAAAAGTGTGCTGGATGCAGAGCCTCAGCAAGGCCTTCAGAATCTCAGGATAGCAAAAACACATGCTAAAGCACATGCCTTGCTCAACCTTCATACTGCTCCATGCAGCAGGTGATCCATGACTTGCCCACGGGTTTCCTCAGGACACTCACCGCTAATAGGGTTGGTACACCCCGCACACTTCTTGGCATACAACTCGCAGAAGCAGGTCAGGCAATAGGCAAACTCATCCCGTGCTGTGAAGCGCTGCCCCGACAGCTGCTTCTTGCAGGCTGTGCATACAAAGCACTCCTTATGCCAGGGCTGCTCCCGGTAAGTGACACCTCCTGTGGTGATGGGCTGGAGAGGCAAGCAGGAGAATTAGGGGGGGTAACCTCTGTCCTTGCTAAGCATCCTCTGTCTCTGCTGTTGCCAGTGGATGATGGAATAGCCTCACCCAGAAAGAATCCAGTTTGTTTAAAGTCACAAACAAAGTGCTCATCCATCATTACCCCTACACGTAGTTTTATTCCAGCGCTGCACCTACTGCCTGGCTTTCCTCTGGCATTTGTCCCCTGGTGTTGGCCCTCAGCCTTTCACATGGTACCAGAGGACCTAAAGCATGGATGTGAAGGACAGAAGCAGTGCCATGGTGGGGTGATGGCCAGATAACACTGAGGATGCTCAGGTCTGAATCCTAGCCCTGCTCTTCACCAACCCTGTGGCTGGAGGCAAGTCACCGCTAACAATCTCAGCACTTCAGTTTTCTCACTCATGAAGTGGGAGTAATGAGGATGAAGGAGCAAATCCCTGGGGAGGCCTTATCACAAAGCCAGACAGGTGGTGACCTCTCCAACATGACTCAAGTTCAGCCTATCCAGCCTCTTGTGGGGCAGGAAAGGAAAGGCTTAAAGACACTGCAATTGGCCCCTGCTAATGCCACAGGAAGGGACAGGCATCTTGGAAGCTTTGGGAAAAATAAGCCGAAGCCTTTGTCTTCATCCTCTCTTACAGTCTTAGAACTTATGAGAATATGTAAACTGATGAGCTACTATTCATACCTCAATTCTATCTGGTGTTTTTCTCTAAAGGGTGCTTTTCATATTCATTTAAACAATGGATGAGCAACAGAGTGACAGATCAGAGGAATCCATGTGTGTTTCAATGGATGGACGAGGCAACAGAAGAGGAGTAGAAACAACTTACATCCACACTTTCGTGGTTTTTTTAGTTTTGAGCAGTGTGGTAGCATTTGGTAATTCCCTTGGTAAAGTTTGTTGAAGCAAGACACATTATTTCCATGTTACAAAGGAAAAAATTGAGACCCAGAGGAATTTCTAAGTGACTCTCCAAGAATGAATTCATTGCTGGTTAATGACAAGGCAGGAACTAGAAGTCAGGACTCCCTCTATCCCGTATTCATTAAATCACAAATCATGAATCATTTGCCTATAAACTCCTTCTGCCTCAGGAACAGAATTTATGGAAAACATGTTGGGCCGTGTTTCTATGGGGATAAAGGAGGCATGCAAATGTGAGATGTTTCCTCATCCTCCTCACTCCAGATTCCATACCTTCCACCCATTCCCATGCCACATTAGCCAGCTCAGGCACATCTCAGCCTCAACCTCACCCAGTCCCCACTTCGCAGCCTAGTTCAGGTCCTCTGGGTACCCACCCTGTCAATACCGTTCTCCACCACAGCACGTGTCAATAGACACCTGACTGGCTAGACAGTACAGTGAGCGCGAAGAAAATCAAGTGTCTAGTGTGTCTTATCTGCCCACAGGTCCCTTTACCTCCGGGCCTCCTTCATGGTCTGAGGGAGGATGGCTGTGGCACAAATGCTCTTAGGAAACACACACACAGGGCTTGCGTTCCATGAGGACATGCTGCCTTTATGTCTGCAAACTAACAGCCCACGAAGGTGGGCTAGATGACAGGAAGAGGAGCAGCTCAGAGGAAGCACCCTTCGATGTTGATCAGAAAAATAAGCTTGGGAACAGAGAAAAGAGTTCCGAATATGAAGGCAGCAATGAGCACCAGGATGAAGACAGAAACTGCTCTTCCTGTCAGTGGCCCAAGGGACCTGTGGAAATCATTCACTATTCACTTGACTTAGAAAACCCCACAGAATCATGCAAGTCAAAGGTTCAAATCTCCTTGTTCATGTTAGGACCACCTGTGACTGGGTAATGGCCTCCAGCAAGTGCAAGGCCCTGAGTTCAAACCACCCCCCCCCCACAAAATGCTTATAAAACTGCCCAGGCTAGTAAGGGTATGTGAATCCAAAAAGCCACCAAGAATCTGAACATTGTCACTGTACAGAAGTAGTATGTGTTGTCTGGCATTACAATGGTGACACTGGTAGGTATGCTCAGGCAAGCAGTGGCAGGACACAGGGCTGGTGGCCCAAAAGTGTGTCAGATGTTTGCTGCCCATGCTTACAAAGGCAAAGAGCACTCCTGAACTTCAGGGGTTAGCTGTAGATTCTGTCATGGAACACCGACCTGAAAAGCCCTCAGGATGTGACCACAGCACTTACAGAGCTCAGGGTTGGATTAACCTACATATGAGCTCCTAACCACACCAAGAGATCCCCACTGAACCAATTGACCATATTGTTCACAGACCACAAGAGAGGCTTGCGCAACAGAAAAGGATACCCCAGAAGAAACCAAAACATATGGTGTGGGAATAAATTCAGCATAAAACAAATGCAAGTGCAGTGGTGGCCATAATTTAAGGGGCTGGAACAAATCTTAACAGCATGGAGACCCTGGGAGCTTCGCCATCCGTGAAGCTGTGTGTGTGACAGTGAGAGTGGGCACGGCAGAAAACAAGGCCACTCTGAAAAGCAGAGGTGGGCACTTTGGGGTAGGCAGGAATGACATGTATCCCATAGGTGTGCATTTCCACTTCTTCTTTATCAAAGTCATGACAGAAATGTCACAAAATTGAGTCAATCATTTGATAAATGATCTGCCTCCTACCCACGGGGGGTAAAGACCTTCTGTTTTTACTGTTCTTCTCACATCCATCCTCTCTCTCATCCTTTTGCTCTTTTCTCCTCCTCTCCCTTACCCACCCACTACCTTCTCTACCTTCTGTCTTTGTCTCTGTCTCTTTCAAGTTTGGTGGTTCGTTTCTTGTTTATTCCAGATTGGCTTACCAAAGACAGCTTTGGAATAGGGAGTTTTCCTTCCATTTAGCATCAGGTCATAAATGTGAGAAAATATTTGGAGATGTAACAAGGCAGTGATAAAGGATTTTTACTACAGAGCACAAGAGTGCTCACCTCTTTGAAAGAAGAACCAGTGGACAAAATGCAAAGAAGCACATGAGAACACAGATCTAAGGTGGAACTACATAACCCTCATGCTACTGAAGTATGACAGGTGGCCTTTCTATCAGAAGGGAGACGGGACTCATGGGTCATGGAGGCAAATGGGGCAACGTCAAGGGAGAATCCAAGGTACCTTTTTGCACTGAACACACTGCAGGGCATATTGCTTCTCATAGCAGGGCACGCAGAAATTCTGATTGTCTTTTGGGATGAAACTCTTGGTTCCAATAGGCTGCTGGCAGCGGTGGCAGATGAAGCAGGTCTCGTGCCAGCTGCTTCCCTGTACTCCATCTTGCGGGTTCCTGTGGTCAGCGTGAAAAGAAAATACAGCTATAATTAGACTGGCCTGCAGTCCCAGCAACTGCCTTCGGATCAGGCCTGTTACCACTTGGTTTTGTGACTGGTGAATCTCTTTAGCTCTCAAAGTCTCAAAGGTAATTCCTGTTTGATGGAGACAGGGACTTTGTCTTTTGGTTCACTGCTTGCTATGCACCCAGCATACAGAACAATGTGTGCATTTGGTAGGTATTTGGCATTTATTGTTAAATATAGTGATAAAAAGAAAACCAAGTCTCTCAGCATTCCAAAGAAAAAGAAGAATCTGGCACAATTGACTAGTCTTTACCGGGATGAATTTTGACACAGGGACTGAGTAGCCCCCCCTTTATTTATGGTTTCAGATACCCATGGTCAACCTCAGTCTGAAAGCATTAAATGACAAATTTCAGAATAATTCAAATACACAATAAACAATTAGTTTTTAAATTGCATACCATTCTGGCAGTATGCTGAAATGTCATTTTGTGCTGCCCAGTCCTGCCTGGGATGTGAATCATCCTGTTGTCTATACATCTACATGGTATATGCTACCTACCCATTAGTAGACATCTCAGTTATGAGATCAATTATCACGGTATTACCATGCTTGTGTTCACATAACCCTTATTTTACCTAATCTTTTACTGTGCCTAATTTACAAATTAAGCTTTACCATAGGTATGCACATATGGGAAAAATAGTACATATAGGGTTGGGGCACTATCCTATCCATGATTGCAAGGCATCCTGGGTTCTGGGAGCATATCCCCCAAGGATGGGTGCATTACTGTGTGCATTCTCCTATTGCACTTTTTGCTTATAAATGACCCCTTGTCTTCAGTGAAGTGGAAATGGCTGGGGAGTGGATGGACCTGGAGCACAAGGCCAGTTCAGTGACGAGTCTCTACAACCACTTTATGCATTTGGCTTGCACCAAAAGTTATAATGAATCTTTGTGGTTTAATGCCCTGTGTTGTGTTCAATAAATAAAATTGACTTTGAGTAACTCTTATCATTTGATATGTTTCTATCATTCCTCCAGGTCAGTCAGGAAGTCCAGAGAAGGGAAACACTTTTTGGCTCACCCCACTATTACCATCAACCTTGACTCAAAGGGAGTGCTCCATGTTGGTGAATGATTTTTTTTATACTTTATAAAAAATGTGGTGTGTAAATCTATAGGAAGAGCTTAATTTAGACAGAAGTTGTACACAACCACCCTTTGTATAAAAATAGAAGGGAAAACTTGGGACAAGAAAGTAACGGATGAGGAAATAATCATGGGGTAGCTCAGGGGCTGGTCACTGAGTGTGGCCATGAGGTCAAATACCAGACTGTTTGTTTTATAATTGAGGTTTCATTGTGGGTTTGTTTGTTGTTATTGTTTAAATTTTTATTTTGCAATGGTGAGAATTCAGCCAGTGTCTCCTCATGAAGACAAGTGTTCTACCACTGAGCACACTTTGCCCATAGACCTCCATAAATGAGGTCTTCTTGGAGCACAGCCACGTCCATCGTTTACTTCCATTGTCTATGGTTTTTCACACTACAATGGCACAGAAGTTACATAGTTATGTACTGTTGTACAGATTAGTTGTAGTGAGTACTTTATGACAAGAGACTGTAAAGTTTGCAAAGCCTCAAATATTTATCTGTTGTTTTTGTTTTTTCTTTTCCTTCCTTCCTTCCTTCTTTTCTTCTTTCTTTCCAACAGGGTCCTACTATGTAGCCAGGCTGGCCTAGAATTCTTGATCCTCCTGCCTCATCCTTCTGAGTGCTGGAATATACAGGTATGCACCCCTACACCCAGCTTATCTAGTTCTTGATGGAAAAATTTTGCCATCCTCTGGGGACAAATAAAAGTGGGGACCATGGTGTGGATGGGTCCACTCATCAGACTTCAAACCCAGGTCTGGAAATGGGGGGAATTGGCTGGAAACAGACTGCCTTCTCAGACCAGTGTAGCTACACATTAAGATACGCAAGCAGCGAATAGAAATCTATGAACTAGTCTTTAGCTCCAAGCCCAGATATAATAACATGATCCAAACAAAAGCTCTATTTTAGCTGGTTGAGAGGTTGGTCAGGAGATGACCATGTGAGGCAAACATGAATGTGCTGAGAATTATCAACATGATTATTAGGTGTTATCTCTTGGGCACATTCTCCGCTGTCCTGTCTGTCCCAGACCAGACATTTGAGCTCCACCTTGCATAGATATGTAAAAATATGCAGGATATGTTGCAGGTGGTGGGAGGCAATGTATGAGGGAAGTCAGAATGGTGACCACAGTGACCTCAAGCGAGGTATACAATCTGTGGAATTCAATCCTGGGGTTGATAGATTTGGAAATGAAAATTACACCGAGCACTTGAAATCAGGTATAACAGTATCAAGAGTTTACTATACATTTTAGAATGACTTTCCTTGGGTTTAGGGATTTCTTTGTCATTTGTTTTTTATATCTGAACTTCACGCTGATCAGTTACACCAAATACCAAGAGGATTTTGTCAGTGAGTTTGGGCAGTTAGGATCCTCACTAAAGCTCGTTCCTCACGTGTTCTGAAGTAGGTTTTTATATGTCAACACCAATGCTATGGAAACTGTATCTGCAGGGAAGGCACTGGGCATTTGAGCCAGGGGAGGTGGCTCTGCACATCTGAGAACCACAAGACTGCAGGGTTCCTGGCTGTAGAGTTATTTTACAACTTGGCCACCAGGTGGCAGGATAGCACTGTCTGCTAAGGGAATGGACACCTAAGGAGAAAAGCACAGTCTAGAGGAAGGAATGAGGAAAAGAAAGCCAGGTGTAAGATTAGAGCCAGTGTCCCTCCTTGATCCTGCTCACATCCTTGAGGCTGCAGCACATCTGCTAGAAATCTTTACTAACAGACTCATGTTTGGTGGACAAGGACTGGTGAGCTCCAGCACTGGGTTTTTGATGGAATTCTAGTTTCTTGCTAGACACCAAAAATTGACCGTGAGGGGTGTGGGGCTGATGGGGAAGTTTTTCACTTGGAGCATGCTTTTGTCATAGAAACCTATTTCACTGCATAATAAGCCACTGCTCCAATCTATCCAAATCTTCTTTTATTAATTTTTATTTTTAACTGCCATATAGCCATCATTTCTGTGCCCATTTTACAGATGCCTGTCTGCAGGAGAAATAGACTGGGCACCAAAAGAAAAGGAGTCTTAAGAAAAGCCTGAGCATGAAAAAAAAAAAAAAAGCAAAACACTGATCAAAGAGCTTGTTTTGCTTTGATTTAATTTTGATTTTCAAAAGACAGAAGGGAAGTGGTTCTAATGTTCTGTAAAGTAACAGAAAACCACAGTTCACATTATACATTTCAAGATATTGGGCAAGTAGGATGAAGCAGGCAATAAGATCACTCGGACCAGGCAAACAGTGGCAAGCTGGCTGGGGACAAAGATACCTGTAAGTCAGTGGACAGAAGATTTAGGGAAGTGTGACTTAGGGCCTGTGGGCTCTGAGCCCCACTCCAGTCTCCCCCTGACCCCATCAATGGAGGGCATTGACAGATTCTGTCACATCAGGCTCGAAGAAGAACGAAATGTTATCATTTGCTGGTAAATGGATGGAATTGGAGAACATCATTCTGAGTGAGGTTTAGCCTGGCTCAAAAGACCAAAAATCGTATGTTCTCCCTCATATGTGGACATTAGATCAAGGGCAAACACAACAAGGGATTGGACAATGAGCACATGATAAAAGCTAGAGCACACAAGGGAGGGGTGAGGATAGGTAAGACACCTAAAAAACTAGCTAGCATTTGTTGCCCTTAATACAGAGAAACTAAAGCAGATACCTTAAAGCAACTGAGGCCAATAGGAAAAGGGGACCAGGAACTAGAGAAAAGGTTAGATAAAAAGAATTAACCTAGAAGGTAACACCCACGCACAGGAAATCAATGTGAGTCAATGCCCTGTATAGCTATCCTTACCTCAACCAGAAAAACTTCCTTTGCTTATACTCTCTCTACAACAAAATTAGAGATAAGGGCAAAATAGTTTCTGCTGGTATTGAGGGGGGAGCGGAGGGGGTGGAGTGGGTGGTAAGGGAGGGGGTGGGGGCAGGGGGAGAAATAAACCAAGCCTTGTATGCACATATGAATAATAAAAGAAAAATGAAAAAAAAAAAAAAAAGAAAAGCCTGGGGCATGAAAAAAAAAAAAGCAAAACACTAGATCAAAGAGCTTGTTTGCTTTGATTTAATTTGATTTTCAAAAGACAGAAGGGAAGTGGTTCTAACGTTCTGTAAAGTAACAGAAAAACCACAGTTCACATTATACATTTCAAGATATTGGGCCAAGTAGGATGAAGCAGGCAATAGATCACTCGGACCCAGGCAAACAGTGGCAAGCTGGCTGGGGACAAAGACACCTGTAAGTCAGTGGACAGAAGATTTAGGGAAGTGTGACTTAGGGCCTGTGGGCTCTGAGCCCCACTCCAGTCTCCCCTGACCCCATCAATGGAGGCATTGACAGATTCTGTCACATCAGGCTCCTGGAGGTAGGAGGGCACAGATCTGCCAAAGGATGGTAGTGTGGCTGTACTGTTACAGGTACTATGCATTTTTTGCCATGGAGCTTGAAACCTAGGATTTCCTTTTCAATTAATGTAGTTCTTGTTGTTTTGGGATGGCTGTGTACACCTGAATCCCTGTGGGACAGGACTGTAGGTCAGCCTGGCTTTTACAGGCGTTGGTTCCCATGCCCATTGTCAAATCCACTTGGACCTGAGTTTCTAACACCTGCAGTGTTAGCATGATCATGTAAGGGCCAGGTGGGGTTTCCACCATCTGAGGGCACCATGGGATTGTGTCTTCCCCATAGCTTCCCAGCTGTGCTATGGCCTGTCAGTTCCAGGTGATTTTATTCCATATAGAAGTATATCACAGTTATTTTTTTAAGTTATATTAACTAGGAAAATGTAGTAAGCAATGAGAAACCATCTTACGGAAGGCATAATTTTCTCCTTTTTAAGGATTACTTTTTATCTAATATATCTTCCTAAAATAAACCAATCTCTCACTCAAAACTCTTCAGTGTCTCTTTACCAAAAAACAAAGCAGACCAAAAATAAAACAGAAACCCTGTAGCTGATTAATCAATCTCCCACTAAAGAACAGGAGTTGGAGGGCTGGGGGTGTGTGTGGCTCAGTGGTAGGATGCTTGCCTAGCATGTGCAATCTCCAGCACTGCCCAAAAAAAAAAAAAAAAAAAAAAAAAGTCAAGAGGTCGACTCTCAATTGTTTCTTGAGCTTCTTCTCTTCAAACATCAGTGGGAACCCAGCTACTGAATGACACAAGAATATTCAGGTGGCTACCTTGGTTTTTGAAATCAGTATCTGCTCTATTGAAACTACAAACTCAAAACCCCTCAACTTAAGTTCTTTTACAGATCTCTTAGAGTTTATTAATACATTGAATTTTTAAAATCCTTTTAGGACAGGCATGGTGGTGCATGTGTGTAGTACTTGGAAGGCTGAGGCAGGAGGATTACTTGGGTCTAGGAGTTCAAGGCCAGCCTAGGCAACATTACAAGATCCTGTTTCTTTTCCTGGCTTCAAACAAAATCCTCCTGCCTCAGCCTCCCAAGTGCTGGATTATAGGAGTACACCAACACACCTGGCTCATTTGTTTTTGAAATGTAGTCTCACTGTGTTGCCATTCTACTCACAAATGTCCCTATCCACAACTAACCTGCTACCCTTTCCTGGGTCCCAGAGATCTATTGCCTGCTTTGTCCTACTCACCCTTCTTTGGGGTCATACTTGCTAGGGACATTCCAGTGGAGAGAAGATTCCTGCTGGCTTTGTGTGGCTCTTGGTAGGGATGCAGATTAAAAAGTGTTATTCAAGTGGGAAACACATCAAAAAGTCACCTGACATTCAGATTGATGATCTTTTTTCACTGGCCGAACCTGGCAGGCCTACCTACTGGCCACGGTTTCTTTGATCATGCAAAAGATATCCCTGATGGCCCAATGGCCTCTGACCCAGCCATAGTTAATGTCTGTACCTTCCAGTCATCCAAGATCAAAATCCTAAGTCGAATTCTCTGAGCTACTTCCCTGACCCCATTTTTACACATTTCTTGATGAGACTTGTTCTGTAATTCTGTATTATATATATACCAGCACATTGTGCATTGCTATGCAAGCACTCTACCACTGAGCTACATCCTCAGACCTCCATGTATTTCTATTCACTCACTTTTTTAAAATAAAAGATTTCTCTCTCCCATATCAAATCAAAAAAAAGCAAAAGAAGCAAATCCTTTTCTTCTCCCCTCAAAACAAGGGACATAATCCCATCCTCCTCACCAACAAACAGGACACCTTACACTATCCTTAGCTCTCGACCCAGTTGTGGTTCTGCCCTTTTTGATGTCTGCCTGTCTAGCACATTAACTCCTTGAGGCCAGAAGACAGGTATGACTCTTGGCTCACTATTTGTGAATGCTTGACTCTAGCCCAGTGCCTGGCACACCAGGGCATGGTGCATATTTGCTGAAGTACCTGAGTGAGTACAAGTTCAGGAAAGAGAAGGGAGGAAAGGAGGAAAGCACGAACACTGGTGAAGAGTGGGGGCTGAGACGGGCGCTCTGTTCTCAGGGGCATACCCAGCATTCTCTTACTACATTCAGCCTTCGGTATCCAGAGGCTCCACATTGTCAGTCAACCAAGTGTAGATCAAGAATACCCCCCAAAAAAAAGAAAAACCAAAAAAGCCCAGGTGCATCTGTGCTGAACATAGACTGACTTCTCTTGTCATAATTCTCAACACAAGGTGGCATAACAGCTGTTTACGTGACATTCCCTGTGTGTTAGATACTAAAAGTCATCTAGAGATGATTTAAAGTATATGGAAGATGTGCATAGGCTCTTTGCAAGTTCTAGGCATTTTATATAAGGGACTTGAGTATCCATGGGTTTTGGTTCCTGGAACCAATCCCTGAAGATACTGAGGATGACTGTATAGGAATTTAGCTGAGTAAAGCCCATTCCCAGGCACAGCCTAGAGTCCATTCCTTCCTGTCATCCATACCATAACCCCAGCTCTTACATCTCTAAACTCTTCTCTGTAGCTCAAGAGACAACACTGAGGCATCGACCCCAATGTCTGAGGCCAAGTGCAGAAGAACAGTGAGCCCAAGGAAGTTTCAGTTAGACTGACTGAGTGCCAGGAGGAACCCCCATATAGGAAGGAGATCGCTCTGACCTGGCATGATGGTCTTCTTGCTTCCTGGCACTTGGATGAGTACTCATTGGAATAGCAGTCAGTGCAGAGCAGCTGGTCCTCCCTGGCTGCGAAGGGCTTGTCCACCAGTGAGCTCTTGCACTGGGAGCAGTGGAAGCAGCCCTCGTGCCAGTGCCGGTCCTTGTAGGACAAATCCTGTGGAGACAGACACACCAACAGTCAGCAGCAAGACAGGAGGTATGCAGAGTTCCTCCCAGCTGATCCCAGCCCAGGATATGGTGTAACCCACAAGGCAGACAGGAATGAGGAAGGCTGGGGTCCATGGCCCTTCCTGTACTGTGACCACCTCACTGCTGATATGTGTGTGTGTCACAGAGACACAGAGACAGATCTTTTGAAAAGTAAATGAAAATGGATTTCCCAATGAATTTCCTATAAAAAATAATTAAACATAAGCAATAATAAGAAAGACATAGCATTTTTGCTTCTCTTCAACAAAATTGGACAAAAGGGCAGAAAAAGGTTCTGCCTGGAAATGAAGGGGGTGGGGAGAGAAAAAAGGAGTGGGGGGCACAGGGAAGAAATGACCCAAGCAATGTATGCACATATGAATAAGAAAAAGATAATTAGAAAATGATTATAGGCATGTGGTCACAGGCATGGTAGAAAAACCCTGGGCATTGGGATATTCAGAGATGGAGCCCCCTGCAGCAGTGCCCTGGGCCAGGTGTGGGAAGGGAGCTGAAAAGAGCCCTGTGAAGGGCCATTGGTTGCATGTGAAGTGCTCACGAATGACAGCAAGGGGCAGGCAGGGAGAAGGAATTGCAGGCAGAGAAAGAGCACAAACATGGACGAGCTGTGAGGACAGGTTGTGGGTGAGCTGTGTGTCAGGGTGCAGGAACCAGTCAGAGCTGGGTTGAGATAGATCATGTCCAGATGGATCAGGATATATGGCTTACCTGCCTGTGACATGGAGTTTCAATTCATCCCTGAAGACCATGGAGAGTGAAAGCTAAGACCAGATGGGACAAATGTATAGTGACATGGGGATGGGAGAAGCAAGGGTCTGCCCTGGGCTGCACCTGCCATGCAGGGCACAGATGGGAAGGCAATGAGCACAGAATCCTAGCTTTTCAGTAAAGCATGAAAGACAAAAGAGCCCAGGAGAGGAAACGGTGTCCACCCCATATTACCTTTGACCTTGTTTGAGGAATGAAAACAGAGAAGTTCATACTTGCCTGTCTAAAATGACATATGGCATTTTGAAAACACCAACACAAATTAAAAAAAAAAAAAACCTTTGCTTATCAAGCTGCACCTTAGGAAGGATACTTCTGTACTTTTGTCTTTGTATTCCTGGCCCTGACCCAGACCTCATCCTTTTATTAATGAGGCAGACACAGAATTTCAGGCCACTGTACAGTTGCACAGGTCGGCTTCCAGATTGCAGGTAACTTGAAATTGTTCATGCAGATGGTCGTCAAGAACCATCATCCCAAGATATCTCTGTTACCAGCACCAAAGTCACGCCTGAACTTAGGTCGAGTATAGGATGTGAAGACACACCTCATGAACTTTATTAGAAAGTTCAACAAACTCAGAACAGTTCTTTTTTCTTTTGGTGGTACTGGGGCTTGAACTCAAGGCCTCATGCTTGCTAGGCTTGCTAGGAAGGCATTCTACCACTTGAGCCACTCTACAAGCCCTGTTTTCTATTGGGTTTTTTCAAGAGGTCTCACAAACTATTTGCTTCAGGCTGGCTTCAAACCTCGATCCTCCTGATCTCTGTCTCCTACGTAGCTAGGATTATAGGCATGAGCAGGGGTGCCTGGCATAACAGGTCTTTTTTGATAAATACCACTCAGTGTGTGTGTGTGTGTGTACTTAATTTGATTAAATAACTTTAATCAAATTAAAGGTATTTGACATGGTGATCTCTTTGCACCTGTTATCTCAGTTAAGAAAGTGTTAAAAATATTAAGGTTGAACCACTTTGCAAACAATCCTGTGTAGTGCCTCACTATGAAGGCATGCTTTGTGCTGGTCCTCTCTGTTGGAGGGTGGTTTCCTACCATATCTGCAAGTAGGTTGTTGTGTTTCAAGATGACAAGGAATGAAGGTGAGAAGAGTGTAGAACATTCTCAAAGCCAGACTGAGTGGCCTTGTTTCTGGAAGTGAGTTTCATTTCCTCTGAGCCACCACCCCGGGCATCAGGGATCTCTGAGTTAGGTATTTTGCTTTTCAGGGGGGACCAACGACCAGCCCCCTCAGCCTGGGTGAACCCCAACTGCAGGGCATATGCACACGGGTGGGACATGAGCAAAGGACTAACCTGTCTTTTGCATTTTTAACTTAAAATATTTTTCAGAAAATTGAGAGGAAAATCCCATGTTCTTTATTGGTTATTTTGATAAGTGACATAAAACATAAATTGCTTTGAGTTTTTGTGTCTCCGTGTGAACTCACTACAAACTTCATAAACAGATCATAATATGCACATATGTCATCATAATTCAGGATTAGGTAGGGCCTCGTGTCTCCATGCATACAGCCTACCTTCAAAGAGAAACCCAAAGAGCTGGGGGGACCTCAGTGGTAGAGGAGGAAAAAAAAATATATAAACAACAAACGAACAAACAAAAAAACACCAGAAGTTTTGGATACTACTCTTGATAATTATGGCCGTGCTATGAGTTCCACACTGCTCAGCCCTGCAAGGTGGATGTTATTACTGATCTCAGAGAAGTTGGAAAACTTGCCCCATGTCACACAGCAGGCAGTCGCTAAGCCAGACTTCAAGCTCATATCAGAATTCAAAAGCTCTGTTTCCAGGAACCACACTAGGTAAAACCCTGGTCAGGCCTGTGTTGCTCTCAGCTTTAGAAAACTGTGCCCTTCATGATACCTGTATGTACCACTAGTGAAAGAAATTAAAAAACAACAAACCCCTCACAACCTCTAATACACATTTCCTGTCCAATTGTCAGCATCACCTTTGTTTAGACTTAAATAAAGGACGTTGGATAAACCACTTAATCCTTATCCACTACGATGAGCCAACAGCCTAATTCAGGAACAGCCAAAGTTTTAATCATACTATCACTGTTAATGCTGATTATGGAATAAATGCATGTAAAAGTTTTGATTTGTATGCAAAATAGCATGGAAGCTCCTTAAAAATTAAAAATAGAGCTGGGTGCAGTGGTGCACGCCTTTAATCCCACGTGCACTTTCCCGTGTGAATATGCATAGTTTTTTAATCACTTACTCAAACCCTTCTGACAGAAACTATATCCTCTGAAGGTAAACAGCAACCTCTGATTATGTACTATAAATAAAAATCCTCCTTCCCACTGTCCCTGGAGATGGTGATGGACTTCCAGGGCCAGTCACAGCTCAGCACCTGGGGTGTGCAGGCAGCAGGAGACCCTGGGCTCCCACACTCCGTGTCTAGTGCCAGTTAAGGGCCGATTGCCCAAGTGCCCCTCTGACATCCCAGGTGCATGCCACTGAAGTGCCTGGGATCTCGCATCTGACAGTTAAACTCAGGGCCCTAGAGTTAGGCTGCCTAATCAAATCCTACCTCCGCCATATAGGTATCACTTGCTGAAATTATATATTTCCTTATAAAGATAGTTACAAAAATAACACTGCATTTTTTTCCTTTCCTTTTCTTTTTGAGGCAAGATCTCTACAGTCCCTGGAATTGTAATCTTCCTGCCTCAGCTTCCTGAATGTTAGCATTGCAGGTGTGTACAACCACCCAGGCTTAAAAAACTGTAACTTCATCATCTTAATACTCCCATGGCAGGCAGGTGCCTGTGGCTCATGCCTATAATCCTAGCTACTTGGGAGGCTGAGATTGGGAGAATCGAGGTTCAAGGACAGCCTGGGCAAATAGTCCTTGAGACCCCATCTCCAAAATAACCAGAGCAAAGTGGGCTAGAGGTGTGGCTCAAGTGGTAGAGTACCTTCTTTGCACTCTGGAGTTCAAACCCCAGTTTCACTAAAAACAAAACAATCACCCACCCCCCACAAAAGTACCACATTACTAACTCTACCACTCAAACTTTGTAGTCTTTAAATTTTCATTAACTCTTTAAAATCTAAAATTATGTTTCTGACTTACTCTTACCCATTTTGGGCCATATAATAACTATGAAACAAGGCTTCATTCTTATGCATGAGCAAATTTAACATAACAGTACCAAAAAGCAATGTTTTCCACAGCATCCCCAAGGCCCTTCCACCTTCATTGATCCAATAAACTAAATTGTGCTCCTACTTTTTCCTGCACAGAAGCAAAAGCCCCTTTCCCAGTTGATTCCAACGTGCTCACCAGCCCCAGCTTGTACCAGCACCCCTGTGTCACACCTCCATGCCTGCTACTTGTTTGCAATGGGCAAAACCCTGCTCAGCTGTAAGGCTAAGCTCACATCTCACCTGTCCTGTGAAACTTCCAGCCAGTGATGCTGGCTGCAGGGCAGCCACATGCACCCAAGGCCAGCACAGCACCATGGGCATCTCCTTCAAACTCATAGACACAGACCTACGACTAATTAATGATCCCATCAGGCCTCCCTGCGGTGTTCGTCCCGGGGCTCCCAGTCAGTGCTCAGTAGGAATCTGAGCTCAGTTAATGAACTCAAGTCTGGACTCACTTCTTAGGAAGTTTGCACTAAGCAGGAAGTGAGCACAGGCTTTATGGCAAGAGGGTGGTAAATGGATACTGCGCCTTTGATTATTTAAGAACACAAGCAGGCCTGGGGCCAATGTGGTTTTCTCCTTGGAGTCTTGGTGGGAGGCAGGGCATTAGTCCAGGATTCCCTGGAGCTTGGAGGTAGATTGGAAAATGCACCCAAAGATTAAGAAGCTAGATTAGAATGGCTGGGGGATGGGCTGGGAGTGGGCATGACCGCACTGTGTACTCATTTTGAAGACTTGGTGTCAGATGACCCTTTTCACCTTGCTTATTCACAGCTCCAAGCACACTGTTAGTTCTAGTTACAGGAAAATGCTAGTTTTGTCTAGTGCAATTTTGTGTGTTTTTAGCATGATCAGCCTTGGGTATCCACAGGTTCAGAATCCTCAGGTTCTACCAAGCACAAATCGAAAAAATTCCGACAAAAAAACTGTATCTATACAAAACAGGTACAGACTTTCTTCTTGTTATTATTACCTAAACAATAGAGTAT